CACAGGCTGTAACCCCGTACCCTGTTCGGTCTTACGACTGACCAGGAGTACCTCTGTCTTGTCTGGATTTAGATAGACAAACAGAGAGAAAGATAGAGAGATAGAGAGAAAGATGGACAGAGAGAGAGATAGACAGAGAGAGAGATAGATAGATAGATAGATAGATAGATAGATAGATAGATAGATAGATATACAGAGAGATAGAGAGAAAGATGGACAGATAGATAGACAGACAGAGATAGATACATAGAGAGAGAGATAGACAGAGAGATAGACAGACAGACGTGTGTGCATGTGTCAAGAAAACTCGGCGCGTGGATGGGGCTGGCCACACGCTATGTTTTGGAATGTGCTCCTTTCCTTCAAAAATGTGCTTTAGGGATGCACCTCCCTTTCTTCCTTCTCTCCTCCCTCCTTCCCTTCCTTTTTTCCTTCCTTTCTTCCATCCTTTGCGGCCGGCTTCCCATTCGGTGGTTCCAACCTGATCTGCGTCACGTGTCTTGTTCCTGTGTGAAACTGACCTCGGGAACATTCTCTCTCATAGGGTTGTTGTAGTTTTTTCAGGCTATATGGCCATGTTCTGGAAGCATTCCCTCCTGACTTTTTGCCTGCATTTATGGCAAGCATCCTCAGAGGTTGTGAGCCCGAAAAACCTACAGCAACCCAGTGATTCCAGCCATGAAAGCCTCCAACAATACATTCTCTCTAATCATTTATAATCATTCACAATTGTTTGTTGTTTATTCGTTCACTCGCTTCCGACTCTTTGTGACCTCCTGGACCCGCCCAGGCCAGAGCTGCCTCTCCTTCCTCATTACTCTCGCTAATAATAAGAGCCAGAAGCATCCTCTGGTCCCCCAACACAAAGAGCCGCAGCGTCGGACCCCCGACCCCTTGCAGGGCAGGCTAAGAAAGCCCTCTCCGCTTGGATTGAAACCAGTGGCCTTTGTCTTATATGTTTGTTTGTTATTTACCATATTTATACCCCGCCCTTCTCACCCCGAAGGGGACGCAGAGCGGCTTTACACATAGGAAACAATTCGATGCCTTAGAAACATCATATAATTAAAATAAACATTTACACAAAACCAAAGAATTGAAACATCTAAACATTACATCCGTTATTTAAAAACTCTGAGGTTGTAGTCCTCGCTGAGGCCTTGCATAGGCAGGTGGGTTAAGTGGCAGGGGAAAGCCCCTCCTTCCCCCATTGGCCTCTCTGTTTACCTGCCTGCTTTCCTTTCTCTCCTATATTTTCCATGTTAGAGGGATGCATCCCAGCAACACAACTCTTTTTCTGAGCACACAGCCAGCCCCTGAATCCTCCACCTTCCTCTCCTGTGAGCATGGAGAGAGACAAGATGTCTGCGGTTACTTAGGTGGCCAGGTTCTGTCAACTTTCCTGTCTAGTTATGTAGCTCTTTGAATCAAGTCTAGTGTTACTTTTCAAAGACTGACTCTGCTCCCTGAATTGCAGAAGCACCAGAAACTCCTGATCTGCTGAACGGTGGTTGTTGCCGCTTTGCCCTTGTTGACTGCTTTTTCCTTTTTTGGAAATGTCCCCAGACTCATAACCCGGATCCTTCCCTCGGCAGAGAAGGCCGTCCTGCGGAAAGGAGAGAGGCTCCAGGGCAGCGGGAATGGCGGAGCCTCTGCAGAAGAAGCTCCGGCCCGAAGTGGAGAAGGACCAGCAGCTGCAGGAAGGTAAGGTGGAGGAAGGAGGAGGCCTTGGCCTAGGACTGAGACATGAGGAATCCCAGAAGCCAGAGGGTTAGGAGGGACCCCAAGGGCCATCCAGCCCCAGCCCCTTCTGCCAGGCAAAAAAACACAATCCTAAACCCTCCCGACAGATGACCACCCAGCCTCTGACTAAATCCTTTCAAGAAGGAGCTCTCAGCAGACTCCGAGGCAGAGAGTTCCCCTGCTGAACAGCTCTTCTTCTTACTCTTAGGAAGTCCTTCTTCATGTTTAACACAATTCCTTTTCCTGCTGTTTGAACTCCTGGCTCTGTTGTCTCTTGCGTCTCCAGAGCAGCAGAAAGGAAGCCTTTCCCCCTCTTCTTCCTCTTCCTCAATGGGACGTCTTTGTGGATATGTCTATGTTTTATTGGTTTTTAATCTCGTTTAGATTTTTAGCTGAATGTTTAATTAATTATTGAATTGTTTTAAGGCATTGAATTATTGCCTCTGCTGTAAACCGCCTTGAGTCCCTTTCGGGGCCGAGAAAGGCGGGATATAGGCATAGTAAGTAAGTAAGTAAATATTGCAACATGGCTGCAGTACAGTCTGGATGATTGGCAGGGCTTGGGTGACATTACATTGCATGAACGACATGCAGACTAATTTCCTGAATGCTTTGCTATCCAACAGCAGTAAGCCTTGCTTGCCGTTCGCTCTGGGGAAATCTCCTTTCCTTGAGTTCCTTAAAACTGTAAACAGTTTTGAGACTCTTGATGAGGGAAGAGACCCATGTTTCATGGCTTTATTTCTGTGTGTAATTCAGTTTAGTATTTCTGTGTTGTGGTTTTTTTCAATTGTATGGCATTTTGCTGTTGAGAGACGCCGTGAGCCTCGACTTAAGAGAGGAAAGTAGCAGTAATAATAATCATAATAAATACATTCAAAACAGCTGCGATATGGAAAGGAGTGTTTTCCTCACAGGCCAGGGATAATACTGTTTATGCCCTCTTTAGATATTTTGAATTATGGGAATTGTTTGAGAAAATCCATAAGCAGCTTTTCTGGCACTTAAGAACCAAAAACTGGAGCATGCGATTGGAAGAACAGGTGTAGATACCTCTCTCTGGAAAGGCTGAGTGATGCAGTGGGTTGGGCTGAGCGGCCATTGGGGTCCCTTCCAGCCAAGGTCCCATATTAATATTATTATTATTATTATTATTATTATTATTATTATTATGCAGGATTGAAGAGAAATAACTGAAAAAGCTGACATATGAGGATTTATTGATTGATTTATTATTCTAACTTCTATGCCGCCACTCCCCTGGGGCTCGGAGCGGCTTACAAGAAAGCTAAAATCTAACACAATTTAAAACAATTTAAAAACAGCAACAGATTGAACTGCAACAAGTCTGGCACAAGCCAGTCARGGGGGGTCCCAGTGGTGATCGGCACACTGGGTGCAGTGCCTAAAGACCTTGGCCTGCACTTAAACACGATCAGCCCTCACAAAATTACCACCTGTCAGCTGCAAAAGGCCACCCTACTCGGATCTGCACATAGTCCTAGATACTTGGGAAGTGTCCGACGTGTGATCCAATGCAATAACCAGTATAGTGATGTTGTTTGCTGTGTACTAATCTTGTTGTGTTTATAATAATAATAATAATAATAATAATAATAATAACGTTATTTGTATGCTCCCCGCAGGGACTCAGGGCAGATTCCAGCATAACAATGGCAAACATTCAATGCCTACATAAACATACAGTACTAACCTAAAATCCCAGAGAACCCCACATATGAAGGTAACATTAAAGCCTAACATCAAATTAAAGCCTAACATCAGTAAATCAGTAACATCAATAAATTAAACTACACGTAGTCAGACAAAATTCTATAATAACATCAATCTACACAAAACATCCACATTAGTGTACAACAGCCAGCAAGGGTTCACAAAACTGTGTGGGTTAATTATATATAAATATTATTATTCTAAGCATATAAATATTATTGTTATTATTATTGCTATTTTATTTGTCGTGTCAGAGCAACCAGTCCATTACATTACATTTATAACAGAACAAAGCAAACAAACAGACAGAGTACAAAACTTGTGAGTTTGGTAGTTGGTTAAATGTCCTTTGACCAGTATCTGGCCACTTGGAGTGCTTCCGGTGTTGCTGCAAGAAGGTCCTCCATTGTGCATGTGGCAGGGCTCAGGTTGCATTGCAGCAGGTGGTCAGTGGTTTGCTCTTCTCCACACTCGCATGTCGAGGATTCCACTTTGTAGCCCCATTTCTGAAGGTTGGCTCTGCATCTCGTGGTGCCAGAGCGCAGTCTGTTCAGCCTTCCAAGTCGCCCAGTCTTGTGTGCCCAGGAGGGAGTCTCTCATTTGGTATCAGCCATTGGTTGAGCTTCTGGGTTTGAGCCTGCCACTTTTGGAGTCTCGCTTGCTGAGGTGTTCCAGCGAGTGTCTCTGTAGATCTTAGAAAACTATTTCTAGATTTAAGTCTTGACGTGCTGGCTGATACCCAAACAGGGGATGAGCTGGAGATGTCTCTGCCTTGGTCCTTTCACTATTGGCTGCTACTTCCGCAGATGTCAGGTGGTGCAATACCGGCTAAGCAGTGTAATTTCTCCAGTGGTGTAGGGCACAGACACCCCGTGATAATGCCCATGTCTCAGTAAGAGCCACATCCACTGTTTTAGTGTGGTGAGATGTGTTCCACACTGGGCATACATACTCAGCAGCAGAGTAGCATAGCGCAAGGGCAGATGTCTTCACTGTGTCTGGTTGTGATCCCCAGGTTGTGCCAGTCAGCTTTCGTATGATATTGTTTCTAGCACCCACTTTTTGCTTGATGTTCAGGCAGTGCTTCTTGTAGGTAAGAGCACGGTCCAGAGTGACTCCCAGGTATTTGGGTGTGCTGCAATGCTCCAGTGGGATTCCTTCCCAGGTAATCCTCAGAGCTCGGGATGCTTGTCTGTTCTTGAGATGAAAGGCACATGTCTGTGTTTTAGATGGGTTAGGGATCAGCTGGTTTTCCCTGTAGTAGGCAGTAAGAGCACCTAGAGCTTTGGAGAGCTTCTGTTCTACAGTCTCAAAGCTCCCTGCTTGAGCAGTAATGGCACGATCATCAGCATAGATTACTAAATGCTATTCAAGCTTGCCAATTGCAACATTCACGCTTGCTTCAGACCAGTGGTTCCCAACCTGTAGATGTGAGACCTAAAGTAAGTTCCGGGGCGGGGGGGGGGGGGGGGGGGGGGGCGTGCGCCAGGAGAGGAAAGAGAGAAGGAAGGAAGGAAGGAAGGAAGGAAGGAAGGAAGGAAGGAAGGAGGCTGGTGCCATTGCCCTCGCCCTCTCGTGCCTTCCCTGACGCCATTGGAGGAGAGAGAGAGGGAGAGGGAGAGGGAGAGGGAGAGGGAGGAGACGAGACTCCCCCAAAGCAAGTGCTGCTGCTGCTGTTGTTAGCTCCTGTTGCCAAACCCAAGTGTTGTCATGGGAAAGCAGCCCTTGTCAGACCCTGCTTAATCCTCCAAAGTTGTTGTTGTTATCATTATTATTTCTGTTAAAGCTGGCAGGGACCGTATCTTGGGTCTCGTGCTCCACTTTTTGTTTTTCAACCTCAGCCTCCTCCCCATCTTTTTTTAACACGAGTGTTAATCCACCGATAATCACACAGCCCAACCCATTTTTTCTGGGTTTTCTAGGTGTTTGGACCTGTTCCTGGGGTTATTTGGGGTGCTGCATAAATAATAAAATTGCATTGGATAGGCCACATCTAAGTTATTAAATATGGTTTTCTGTGGGTGAGCAGATGGCGACTACTGAATGGTGTATGTTTTATATACATCCTGGAATATGTTGACTCCATCACAGTTTCCTGGTGAGATGTTGACTCTTCATGATTGGCATTAGCCTTGCGTTGACTTCCTTCCTAACATTGTGAACATTTCTCTTATCATCACAGTTCTTTTCAGTTTACTTTTTCAGTTCTCATTAGCAGGTTTTAATTACAGTCCAGCTAGCAGGTGGAGCAGTGGGTTAAAGCACTAAGCTGCTGAACTTGTTCGCAGGTTAGAATCTGGGGGGGGGGGGGGGGGGGGGGGGGGCTGTGAGCTCCCGCAGTCAGCCCAGCTTCTGCCAATCTAGCAGTTGGAAAACATGAAAATGTGAGTAGATCAATAGGTACCCGTCCGACGGGAAGATAACAGCACTCCATGCAGTCATGCTGGCCACATGACCTTGGAGGTGTCTACGGACTCTGAACGCCACACACACTAGAGTCTCCTCTTCATTCGCTTCATCACTGCCAGCTCCTTGTTGAACCAAGGAGCAGGTTTAGCTCGGCTACTTGAGAGGTGACATTCCGGGGCAATCATGTCTATTGCCCTAGGTAGTTAATGATTTAGTCATTGCGGACCTCAATCTTTACGAAGGATGTCTCCAAAATTATTAACTCTCATTCATTCATTCTTTCATTCAATTCCACACAAACAATATATCATTTCAAATCTCCAAATTAAATTTCTTGTGACAAGCAGACGGCAACTACTGGATGCCATATGTTCTGCATCAAAAACTAGAGCTGATGTGTTCTCTCCAATGCGGTTTTCTGCATCAGTACCCCAAATAAGCAAACCGAATCTAATGTTGACCAAAAACCGATTCGTAACCTTTATGGTGCTAATGTTGGAGAGTGGTTCCTGGTCAAAGTGGTCCCTGGTCAGGGGGTCCTGATAAAAAAGGTTTGGGAACTAATGCACTAGACAGATGATATAAGTGATTGTAAATGTAAATATAACCAAGCCATGCAGAATTCAAAAAGGGACTCTTCTATTTACACGAATTCTTAAAGTATTGTTAAGGGACATAACAGGTGAGGAAGAGATTTCTGGAATAAGGATTGGAAAAGGAAATGAAATATGACAAAAGAGGAAATACAGAGAGGTCTAGAGGGTGAAGCGTACGATATTAGCTTTCTTTGTGACTAGATAGGAAGAGACCGGCGATCATCTATCTTCCTTCCCCCTCCCCTCTCACCCCCCCCATCTTTTTCCTTCCCCCCCTTTTAAAGAAAAGGATGTATAAAAAGATAAAAAGAGAGGGAGCAGATAACAGCAATGTTCCATGGAAATGAAGTCTGTAAAAATATGAGCACCCATGGAAACCAGGAGGGCCTTCTCTTCTGTGACCTCCCCATGATGTGCTGCCCTCCTCTCCAGAGCCCGCCTGGGGCAGAGGTTGATGCAATTCCAGTCTCCAGGTCTGCATTATCAGGCCTTCCTTTTAAAATCAATTATAACACATAAATTGAAAAATAGTAAAACCTAAACAGTTGTGTTTTGGGAACACAAGCTCATGTATTTAAGAAACACATTTTTCACACCACACTGCGGAGATGGAGGTAATACGTAAAGCCTGGGGTGGCTGCAACACGTCCACCACTCCCCATTCATGAGCAAAAGAAGGGTGGGAAGGATCTAAGCGTTCCTGGAGGCAGGAAGAGAAGGGCAGAGGGGCCTGCAAAGAAAGGAGGGGAGGATGGACAGAGGGATGAAGGAGAAGGCTCAAAAAGCCACGCGGAGGAAGAATCCCTGCAGCCTCAGAAAAGTTAGCGTTTAGCCTTTCAAGGAGGAAAAGAGTGTGCTTCCCCTTTGAAGTCCTGTGTCTGTTCCCTGCAGGATTCTGGAGTTTGTAGTTGAGAGAGGCCCAGGACCCCCCTGGCTGAGGATTAGAAAGGCCCCTCCCTGAACACCTGGCAGTGTAAGAAATCCCACACCCAGAGAATCGTGACCCAGAGAAATCGTGACCCAGAGAATCTTGGGTCACCGTCCCCTTTGTACCTGAGGAAGGATTTTTCGGTGTTGGGCAAGTGTCAAAGTATTTGTCACCAGGCAATGGGCAGCTTCCCTCTTCCTCTTGGTTTGCTACAGCACTAGACTTCCTCTTCACGTTCCATGAGATCTTTCCCTGTTCAACCCCTGAAGAGATTTTTCTCTCATTTGTTTGGCAGGTAACTTTCGAACAAGTTCTGCAAAGAACACCTTGTGAGAGCTTTGCCCAAGGAGTGTTGTAAGTCCAAAGTGACCTCAAGATACACAACAATAACAACAAGAAAAAAATACCTGTGCTGTTAAGGTGAGGAAATAAGAACGTTCTGAAAAAAGAGAGGCTTGGGAAAGCAAGCAGAAGGCTAAAGCAATACAAAAACTGTACTGTTCAGGAGGTTTAAATCTGTGAACCCCTGGCAAAAAGTTTGAATTATAAATGTAAAAGAATGGCAAGTCCCCTCCCTCCCTATCCTAGAGCAGACACAGGGGAGAACTTACATCAGTGTATGGAGTGTGGAAAACAATTTGAAAAGAAGCGTTCTCTTACTCTACATGAACGGACCCACACACGGGAGAAGCCACATAAATGTGTGGAATGTGGAAAGAGCTTCAGTGAGAGTGGCCATCTACGGTCCCATCAAAGGATCCACACAGGGGAGAAGCCACATATATGCATGGAATGTGGAAAGAGCTTCAGTCGCAGTGGCACTCTACGTTCCCATCAAAGGATCCACACAGGGGCGAAGCCATATAAATGTATGGAATGTGGAAAGAGCTTCAGTGAGAGTGGCCATCTACGGTCCCATCAAAGGATCCACACAGGGGAGAAGCCACATAAATGCATGGAATGTGGAAAGAGCTTCAGTCAGAGTGGCACTCTACGGTCCCATCAAAGGATCCACACAGGGGAGAAGCCACATAAATGTATGGAATGTGGAGAAAGTTTCAGTCGCAGTAGCAGTCTACGTTCCCATCAAAGGATCCACACAGGGGAGAAGCCATATAAATGTATGGAATGTGGAAAAAGCTTCAGTCACAGTTGCACTCTACGTTCCCATCAAAGGATCCACACAGGGGAGAAGCCATGTAAATGTATGGAATGTGGAAAGAGCTTCAGTCACAGTTGCACTCTACGTTCCCATCAAAGGATCCACACAGGGGAGAAGCCATATAAATGTATGGAATGTGGAAAAAGCTTCAGTCTGAGTGGCCATCTACGGTCCCATCAAAGGATCCACACAGGGGAGAAGCCATATAAATGTATGGAATGTGGAAAAAGCTTCAGTCGCAGTGACACTCTACGTTCCCACCAAATGACTCACTCAGTACAGAAGCCATAGAAGTGCATAGAATGTGGAGAAAGTTTCAGTCAGAGTAACTATCTCGATTCCTTCCAAATCTATCTACATTGCTTTCAAAGGAGCCACATCGTAGAGAAGCCGTATAAATGCACGGAATGTGGGAAGAGCTTTAGAGGATGTTCAGCATACAATAAACATCATGGAACTCATGCGCCGCTAGAGGAGACCTGCCTTTCAGTTTCTGAGCTCTCTTTCAAAAAATATTGGAAAGAAAGAGGAAGGCCGGCACCTGGCGCTCTCTCTCTCTCTCCCTCTCTACTATGGACTAGTTTGTGTGGCCATAAGAAACTCATCACAGGCTTCTGGGGTGATCTGTGGAGGTTTGCTGAAAGGAGCAGCAGCTGAGATCTCTGGAGAAAAGGGTTCTGAACAAGAAGAGCTCTTTGGTAGCCGAGAAGGTCATCTCTTCATACCCTCGTCTCACGTCTTGGCTCTGTTGCCCCTCGGTTAGAATTTTGGGCTCCAGCCATGTACCTGTCACCCTTTTCTGGACTTTGTTGTATCCTGAATCGTTGATTATAAATTCTGGACTGACTTCTGGTTTCATTTATGAACCAGGACTTGTTTGTATCCCTGACTTTCTGGCTTGACTTTGGGACTCTGAATTCGGTTTGTACTCTTGATTTCCTGCTTGTTATTTCATCAGCTCTGTTGAATGAACTCCTGGCATGTGACTCTTGGACTGTAACCTTTCTTCTTGCTCCTGACCGGGATCTGCAGTGCTCTACAATTGGACTCCTGACCTTGATTAACTTGTCTTCATTGTTACTCCGACTGTGTTGCTGCAATTGTATTATTTTAGCAAGACTGGTGCAATGAGTTAAACCCTTGTGCTGGCTGAACTGCTGACTTGAAGTTTGGTGGTTTGAATCCGCGAGACAGAGAGAGCTCCCATCTGTCAGCCCTAGCTTCCCCGTGCGGTGACACAAGAGAAGCCTCCCAGCAAGATGGGAACACATTTGGGCATTCCCTGGGCAATGGCTTTGTAGACGTCCAATTCTCTCACACCAGAAGCGACTTGCAGTATGTTCTCTATTTGTTTCTGACACTGTAAAAAAGCCGGACTGAAGACTTGTAAGTAAATATGGTCTTGGCTTATCTTGTGTTTGTTTCGTAAACCTCAGACTTTATACCGGGAGAGCTCTGAAACACGAGACCATGAGTCTTTCTTTGTGTGTACTTATCGCTGCTTAGAGTGAACCCCTTTTCTGTATTTGAGGCTGTTTAATGATTTTAAACCCAAAAGTATTTTTTTCCACACATGGATAATATAACCATCAGGGCATTTGAAAAGGTGGTTGAAAGAGACATGGACAGACTGTCCCGGAACAAAATTTACACCCGTTCCCACATGACGTCCATAGAAATGAATACCATAAAAAGATTGGCCAACATGAAAGGATACATCTGGAAGAAGGCAGATAAAGGGGGAGCAATAGTTCCATTAAACGAAAGGGATTACGTAAAAGAGGTAGAGAGACACCCAGGAGACACTTCTTTCTATATACCTATCCCTAAGGATCCTACAGACAAAATACGTTTTTTAATCTGAACAGTATGTACAGAAAGACTCACTTTAGGATGCATCTCAGATCAGCAATTTGCATTTCTGCAAAACAAGAATCCCAGAATTCCAGTGTTTTATGGTCCACCTAAAATACACGAAGGAAACATGCCTCCCCCAGGGAGACCAATTGTATCAGAGTCTTCCTCCATCCTGGAACCCCTAGAGCAGTTTTTGGGTTATAATTTACAACCATTTGTACCCCTCGTGTAGTCTTATATTAAAGATACTAAACATTTCATAAAGATCATAGAGGACTTACTATACCACCACAATCCATCTTAATGATTCTGGATATAACAGAGCATACCATTAGATCYAACTAGAACAATAATTTTGGAATTACTAAACATKCGTGAGCCCCAAACACCAGCTTCTCATATTTTAATGGATTTGTTAGACATTGTCCTGGAATATAATTTTTTCAGATTTAAAACCCAATACTATCTACAGATTTTTGGTGTCGCAATGGAAAGTCCTTTGGCCGCTTCAGTGGGAAATCTTTTGATTTCAAATTTGGAAGAAACCCACATCCTACATGACACTAAAAACAGGTTGTTGTTGTTTTTTTTTTGCCAGATATTCTATACGATGGCAGGTTTATTGATGATATTTTTTTTAATTTGAAAATCAAAAGAATCTGCAATCTTCTTTAGTACTTGGCTTAACACAATACATGATAACATCAAATTCACTGGTAACCATAGCCATACAAATATAAACTTTCTAGATGTCATGCTATATAAGAAAGGCAATAAGAAGACCCACGGATAAAATTCCATCATGCATTGCAACACCTACCACCATAATGCTGCAAGTTGCTTCTGGATGCTTCTGGAATGAGAGAATCAGCCATCTAGGAAGACGTTGCCCAGGGGACGCCCAGATGTCTTGCAATCCTGTGGGGAGCCTTCCCTCATGTTCCCCCAAGTGGCCAGCTACTGATCAAAGGACATTTAATAGAATGCCAAGTTTGCAAACTTTGTGCTTTGTTTGTTTTTTCTTTGCTTGATTTTTTTTTTAGTGCAACGCAACTGTTTGGTTCGCTCCTGCATGATAAATAAATGCCACCATCATAGTTTAAAAGCCAGCTTACCCTATGTCACACTTATGAGATTAAAAGGAAAACACCACTGCCCCCGAGGAGGTCACACCAGAGGTCATTACTTTTGAGAAACATTTCAAAGAAAAAGGGCACCCCACAAGTATCATCAATACTGCTATTAGAAAAGTTAAGTCCACAGATAGAAATGATTTACTAAGCGATTTGGTGAAGAAACCTAATGACCATATTATATGGCCACTTAGGTTAACCACATATTTTCCACACATCAGGAAAATAATTAGAAAGCACTTGGTCAGTGACACTCCAGGATGCAAGAATGTACCAATAATAGCCAACAAACGAACCCAAAATCTTAGGGATATGATGAGCACATCTGACTTCACAACCCCCTATACTATCAGCAAATCTAATCTTGGGGGCCACACAAGTTGTGGGCATTGTGCATATTGCATTCAATTTCTTAAAGTAAAACAGTTCTCACACCACACAATGCAACTCAACATACAACTTTGTAGTTTCACCAAATGCAGTACAGAGAAAGTGATGTATGTCATACAATGTCCATGTTCACTGCTATATGTAGGCATGGCCTCCAGACCTTTAAAAAATAGAATTCTTAGAACTAAAGCCATTGAATCTACTCTTTATTCCCATTTCAGTGAGAAATCCCACTCACACACTAGCTTCAGATTTGGCGCTTTTTAGGAAAGGTAACCACACAACCCCATCAAGACTTACAGAGAATTTTACTTCAGAGAGAGGCTTTTTTGGATATTCAGGTTGCATACCATTTCCCCAGGTGGGTTGAGCGATAGATTAGATCTCTCTTGTTTTCTGCAATTGACCTGTATCTTTCCAAGGGGAGGCTTCTCCATGGGTTTTTGCACTTGAAAAACCTGCAAACTCACGGCTATGGGAAGTCTTTGAGCAGAGCAGAGCCATTCACTCCTCTGAAGAAAGTAAGCGTTTTAATTCTGCACAATGATTGTTGTTAATGTAACTGAGTGCTATTATAGCATATCTACTTTTGTTGTCCTTTTGAATCTAGTTTGTTAATTCTTTGGAAGATAAATTGATGAAATAGCAAATAAGTGTTAACTTTCCAAAGAAGTGATAACGAGGAACTGTTGAGAACTCACAGCATGTTGTGAATGAGAACTTATTGTTTAATGTTTATAAGGATGTGTTTCTTGATTGAATAATTGATGTTTATATAGATTGTGTCCATGGTGTTGAGAGAATAATAATCTTACTGTAT